TTTGCATATTATGACGTCAGCAGATTTTTGGAAAATTGATTGTATCTCTGTAAATATTGATCAATTTTCTTTCAAATGTTGATATGTTGTAGCTAACAATATTTTCTACAAATGCAGGTAAAACAATTTTTCATTTTGACAAAAGCATCATGGCGTATTTTTGCGATTAAAGGAGGCATGTCAATTTTTCACATTTTGCGTGTATTCTCTACGGGACATGACTTTTTCTCAAAACGGGATTCTACATTCTCGTCTTTCGCGAGCAACTCCTCCGTCGTTTTATCTTTGTTTACGCTGAGCTTTGAGTATGTTGTAGCTGAGAAAATAAGCTATAACAAGTGTGCCCTTTATTTTTCGATCAGATGCCGGGATCATGCCCATACTTCACTTACAAAGTGGGATTTGAGAATTCCATTTTCTGTTTACGTGTAATCTCTATGGGAAATGTTTTGGTATATCGGTAACGCACTTGGTTCGAGTCCATGCGTCTCAAAAAAAAAAACTTCACTTTTTTCCTTTTTGACCTTTCACTGTACCATCTCCTTTGAATATTAAAACACGTAGAATCGCAAATAATGTAATAAACAACCACATTTACTTTATTATTACCCTATTATCACTTGATCTATTACTTTTTGCGTGTAATCCTTATGGGAGATGACTTTTTCTCAAACCTGGATTCTACATTCATGTCTTTTGCGAGAAATATCGCCGTTATTTCAACTTGATTTTTGTTGATTTTTGAGTATGTTGTAGCTGAGACTATATACTATCTAAATGTTCTCTCATTTTTTCAGTCTGATGTCATCATGGTCTGTTGATGATGTTCATCAACATCATGATCATCATGATCATGATCATTATCATCATCGTCACCATCATTATCATTATCATCATTAACATTACCATTAATATCATCATCTAACATTATCATCATCATCATCATCATGATCGTCATCATCATTATTATCATCATTAACATTATCATTAATATCATCATCTAACATTATCATCATCATCATCATCATCATCATATCATCACCATTACTATCATGATCACCATCATGTTCATCATCATCATCATAATGATCATCATTGTTTACATGTCTATATAACTTCTCCCTTTCTCTATATAGTAAATATTCAAATCTATCATCAGTTTAAAAACAGACCACCTTATTCATCAAAGTGACGAATTAAAATCTAGTTTCATTTAATCCATTACTTTGTGCGTGTAATCCCTATGGGAGATGACTTTTTCTCAAATCTGGATTCTACATTCCTGTCTTTTGCGAGCAATATCGCCGTTATTTCTGATTGGATTTAGTTGATTTTTGAGTATGTTGTAGCTGAGACTATATGCTATTTAAATCATCCCTCATTTTTTCAATAAGCTATCAGAATCACGCTTATGATCATGATCATCATTATCATAATGATGATAATCATTTATCAATTACATTTTCATTTCTTTGAATAAGATAAAATCGTAAAAAAATGTTATTCATGATGTAAATTAGAGTCAAAGGTGTAACTGGTTACTGTACAGGGTCAACGGTCATATATTGGTTCAATCTATCTTCCCTAGATCCATGATTATCAAGGGGACACAATTTAATCTTGACATATAGATAGATCATAATGGGCGAAGCATTTTATTAAATAATATATCGTGTAATACATTATTCGTTATGTAAACCATTATCATACGAATCACCTAATTCGTCAAAGTGACGAATTAAAGTCTAGTTAACATTGTTTTGGTTTTACTTATATTTATCTTAAGACGGTTCCTTTTATACCAACTATTTAAAACATTCACTGTATTTTGTAAATTAAGAGTAACATCATGAATATTATCACCAGTAACATAGATAACTACATCGTCATCATAGATAGAGCATACTGCATTATTAAGACCTTCAGATATATCATTGATAAATAATAAGAAGAGGACAGGGGCAAGTACACTACCCTGTGGTACCCCAACTAATAATTCCTTTATAGCTGAGTTCTTACCCTTTGAACAAACTAGTTGTTTTCTTCCAGTAATATAATTTGAAAACCATTTCAACTCTTGATCATATATGCCATATTTCTCTAGTTTAAATAAGAGTAAATTATGATCAACGCAGTCAAAGCATTTGGATATGTCAAGAAAGCATGACCCAACAAATTCCTTATTATTAAGGGATTCATGAAAATCGTCAATTACACGGTGTAGGCACGTAACTATAGAATGATGAGGGAGAAATGCATACTGGTCTACATTAATCATATCGTGTTATTTTAGATAGTTAAGTAATTGTAACTGAACTTCCTTCTCTATCATTTTAGAATTATGCATACATGCAAGCACAAATTGAGACTTTTTAAAAATGACTCCTTTTTATGTAATAATATATACAGTGCGTCCCAGAAAAAACGAAACCGAGAAGTATCGATGTTTTATCATAACTTAATCACAACCATAATTAATGAATGATACATATTTGGAAAGCTTAGAGTCTCTTCTTTCAGTTGATGCTACTCACGTGATGCATATTTCTCGCATTAGTGATTAAAAGCAATTTGAAGGAAGGAAACTAAAAAGTAATTAAAAAAAAAAAATCATATTTCTAGAAAGTTCATTTTCTGCTCTTTCATATGATACCTCAATCAAGAAAAATGAGCCAGGAAAAACAAAGTTCTGTTTGTTTAAAGCAGCCCTTACATTTTTATAATTTTAACAAACGAATTCGTTTTCACTGCGTGCCTGCCGTAGCAAAAAGCAGATTGGACAAAAGACTTAACTCCGTTTCGTTGACAATCAGCCATGCATGAAGACTCTCGTCTACGGCTGATTGTCAACGAAACGGAGTTAAGTCTTTTGTTAATTTCGTTTATTGATCCGGCAGGCAGCCAGTGAAAACGAAATCGTTTAATAAAATTATGGAAATGCAAGCCCTACTTTAAACAAACAGAACTTTGTCGTTCCTCGCTCATTTTTTCCTGATTGAGGTGTCATATGAAAGGGCAGAAACTCAACTTTCTAGAAATGTGGTTTTTTCTTCCAAATTCAGATGCCGCCCGCCAAATGTCTTTTTGGTTTCCTTCCTTCAAATTGCTTTTAATCACTCATGCGTGAAATATGCATCACGTGGGTATCCTCAACTGAAAAAGGAGACTCTAAGCTTTCCAAATATGTATTATTCATTAATTATAGTTGTGATTAAGTTATGATAGAACATCGATACTTCTCGGTTTCGTTTTTTCTGGGACGCACTGTATAAAAACAATGCAAAAACATACAATATTAAACATCATTTAAACATTTATATAATAGCATATAATTTAAGAAGAGATAGATAGAAATATATAATAAAAACTAAAATGGGTTTGATTCATTACTTCAAGACGACGTCGTTTGATTCTATAAGGCGTTTGTATTGTCTTACTTTCCCCTATTATTATGGTTAACGGAACATGAGAGTAACTATACAAACAAAATCAATCTAAGGGCAATTACAGGAGTTTTGTCCGTCACCTATATGACATGATTGATATGTGCATATTACGTAATCCGAAAATGATTTATTATGGAGTGTATCGAAATTGGCCTTGGGTTAATTTACAGTTTATTCCATAAATCAGAGTTTATCAATGTTATATATCTAAACACAAGAATAATAATTTCATACTTTTGATGTGCGACCATTAATTTGAAGGGAAATTATTTGATGACATTGTAAAAATTGTCCATGTCAGACACCATATGCCTACCGATGCACCAGGGCCAGTGCTATGAATTACTTAAGTTATGTATATAGCCAATGCCACTTACCTTGCAGCTATAATTATAGCTCAGTTAGGTTTCGTAAAGGCCCAGTTATAAATGAAAATCCACCATCCAAGGAAAGCGTAAGCATGATTAGATATACCATATATCAAGTTTAAATCTCAAATGAATTTCAGTCCACAACATTTTTCAATTCAGTTTATTTGATTATTTCTTTAAAAAATATAAAATACCAATGAAATAAAGCAATTTGAGGTAAATATACAGAATGACATATAACAGAAAGGCACATACACATACATATATAGCTGACATGAGAAATACAAAAAGGATTGATTATAGTGGAGGTAACGGATTAACAAAAGCAATCGGACAGTCAAGGCTAATCCCAATTTTAGTACACTTAAAATTAGTAGATTAAAATAATTAAAAGTGAGTAAATTATATCATAGTACTGTACATGCATTTCAATTGAAGGTGAGAGTAGAACACATGACATCAGAGAGAAAGAGAATATGACATATTAATAACCTTAATTGTTTTTAAATACTTGTTAAAATGAATCAAAACCTTCGTGTAATAATATTGTAGAAATACTTACAACATGCACACTCACCCACGCACCCACGTACCAATTCATGTTTTTCATGATATAGGCCTTTCAAGTATATGAGAATGTAAAAAAAGGTATACTACAAATTCGACATGATATGGTAATAATCAAGCTACAGGCCTACATTTGGCTATATCGTGATGGTGTCAAAATTGCTCCTCGTTCGCGAGATATAGAAAGTCGAAAGAAGTATTAATTTTGGACAACATTAAACGTTAGCTCATTAAAAAAAATTGCGCCCATAACTACGCCTACGCCGATCTTTTCAAATACGAATAAAATTTACTGTAAGCCAAGCTACCATAATAATTTTGAGGAGGAAAAAAAAAAGCATAATTATTGAACTGCTTTTGTTCTTTTACGAATTTTGCCCAATATTTCAAAATCACAATTTTTTATTGAGGTAAAATTGAATAGGCTATTATAAGTTTGCGATCCAATGACTTGGAATTATCATCAAATATAAATTGAAACCGAAGAAAATTAAACAATTTAAAGTATTTATATAATTTCGTATCATTTCAGAGATAGCATACGACTTCAAAACTGCAAGTGATTATTTTTTTCAATCTTTTCCACTATTACATAAAGTTTTTTTTTAATTGACTCTCATGAAATTAGGTCATTTCCACACCATCTGGTTCTACATGTAGTTCGTAACGAAAAGGAACGATAGTGGGTTGGATAACCTTTTTCAGCCTCTGAAATGGAGAAAAACAAAATGAAGAATTATTGTTGAATATTATTGAATTATTAACATGTTGAAAGGCACTAATGTCCACACACACACACACACAAAAAGGATTTTATTGTAACGCAGCAATGTGAGGAGTGAAGCCCCCCCCAAAAAAAGAGAAGAGAACATGAAGAATTGCACTGGAAGAAGAATGGTTTAATAATTCTTATGAGAGTGAATTTCACTATTTATCTGACATCATGGAGTGGACTTCAAACGAAACGAATATGGCTTCTCTAGTACCACTTTGAGGTTTGAACCCGGCCCCCCACTCAGTGTTATTTAGGGTACGCATATGCTCGTTCCCTATTTTTTAAAGCACCCCCTATCTGAGGACTGCCAACATTTTCGAACCCCCCTTTCGCGGGCTTTTCGCGGCCTTTTCCTGCTTTGGAGACCCCCCTAAATCAGGAAAAATGCTCAATGTACCCCCATAAATTCGGAATAATTTCTCAGGAGTCCAAAGAGATGAGAAAAAAGAAGAAAAAACACCCCTTTTTTGAAGAAATCTCCGGGTGAAAGTCAAATACACCCCTTTTTTTACAATTCTCGGGCCGGACTTAGTCGCACGAAAAGTACCCCTTTACCGGACATTTTGGCAACACGCATGCGGTCATTCCGACCCCTGAGTGGGGGGGGGGGGGGCAGGGGTTTGAAACCAAACTGTTCCTTTCCTACTTCATTGCCAATGTGAATTTTGATTCTGTTGAGAATGATCTTTAAGAGCAACTTGGTTACATGGCTCATAAGGCTAATTGTCCGAAAATCTTCACATACATTTACCTTAGGCTTCTTTTGGAATTGACACTTATATACCCCCCCCCCCCAATAAAAGAGAAGAAAGTGAATTTTCGTTGCTCAAAGGGAAGCCGTATGCCCTTTGAGGATCACTAATTAAAAGCCCTAAAATCCTGTTCATAATCTTACCGTCATAGTGGGCCCTTCACCTTTGATCATGTGGTAGAAGATGGAGTAGACCGCTCCTGCGGGAATGCACACCATCGACGAGAGGGTCATACAGAAGCCGAGCCCGTCGGCCCAGCTCGGGTAGCCAGAGGAAAATGACAGCGGGGCCCAGTACACTATGTTGCCGATCCAAACGAGCTGAGAATAGAATGTATTTTACACGATTATTTGACAAATCTTTTGTTACCCTCTCTTCAAATTGGTTTTAATCACTCATGTGTGAAATATGCATCATATGAGTTCCATGAAATGAAAGAGGAGGATCTAAGCTTACCAATTTATGGGTCATTTATTAATTATAATTGTGATTAAGTTATAGTAAAAAAATTGTCGGTTTCGTTTTTTCTGAAACGCACTGTAGAGTAGAATAAAGAGAAAGTCGAGTCCTGCTTAATTCGAGGTTTAAATATTCATTGTGAGCTTTCTTATTTTTTGTCAGTTTGGAAGCGTATCCGGACACCTACCCCCTGGACATCCAAACCCTAGGGCAGCCACCACCTAGGATGACTACCCCCAGACAACTACCCCTAGGAAAACTACTCCCTAGGACAACTTCCCCCGGACAAATACCCCCAGACAACTACCCCCGGACAACTACTCCCGGACAACTACTCTCTAGGATAGTTGTCCGAGGGGTAGTTATCCTAGATGATGGTTGCCGTAGGGGTATTTTTCCGGATGGTAGTTGTTCGGGGGTAGTTATCCGGGGGTAGTTGTCCGGGGGTAGTTGTCCTAGGGGGTAGTTAACGGCGCGTACGGAACCCAAATCAGACTTGGGTTCCTCGAGCACCTTATTCTACTCCATGCAATTACGATGCGTCGACTAGTTTACTAGTTTTGTATCTAGTGAAAGAGTATTTTAACTCGCAATATCTCTTTATAATATTGTTTGAAGCTCAAATATTCATTGTAGTATAGCAACTTGGAATCCTTAACATACAATGCAAAATATATCCTATTGATTTCTACACTTTAAATGTCAGTAGAATAAGGGCCATCTATATTCGGAGAGATATTTACCAGAGCAATAATAGGAACAGTGACTGGCCAGCAGATTATGTACCATTCAATCTGTTGCCATTTCAGCATCTCGGCAATGTCTCGGGAGAACCTTCTAACACCTTTATTAAAAGAAAAGAGGTAAGAATGGAAAATCAAAAAGTTACACATCCCTTTCAATACTTTGATAGTCTTCGATAATCATATTGATGCCATAAGATGTCAAAAGTTTACACATAAATCTAGTTTTTCTACGTTGTGACTGACCAGCTTAACGATGTACCATAAGGTGTCTCCATCTTAGAATCTCGACAATGTTCGATCTTTTATCTTTACTGATGATGGGAAAACAAGGAAAGTGAAAATCATTTGGTACGATTTAACGCATGTACCAAAATTGATGACAATTTACTCAATATTTGGTAAAATTAAACCCAACAAACATACATGTTCCATTAAAAAAAAACAACATAACAGATACAAATTTCGCCTCACTTGGGATCAGGGGCAGTTAACCTCCATTCAATGTATTGATTTGTCCAATATACAGTGCGTCCCAGAAAAAACGAAACCGAGAACTATCGATGTTTTATCATAACTTAATCACAATTATAATTATAATAAATGACACCTATTTGGAAATCTTAGATCCTCATCTTTCATTTGATGCAACTCATATTTCACGCATGAGTAATTAAAAGTAATTTGAATAGAGCGGAAACCAAAAAGTCATTTGGCGGGCGGTATCTGAATTTTAATAGGAAAATCACATTAATTTTCTAGAAAGTTCAATTTCTCCTCTTTCATATGACACCTCAATCAGGAAAAATGAGCCAGGAATAACAAAGTTCTGTTTGTTTAAAGTAATGCTTGCATTTCCATAATTTGCTCAAATGGGTTCGTTTTTACTGGCTGCCTGCCGTTGCAACGAACAGAGTTGACAAAGGACTCCGTTTCGTTGACGATCAGCCATGCACAAATAACACGAAAGACCTGATGCATGGCTGATTTTCAACGAAACTGAGTTAAGACTTTTGTCAACTCTGTGTGTTGCTACGGCAAGCAGCCAGTGAAAACGAACTCGTTTGATCAAATTATGGAAATGCAAGCATTTTTTAAAACAAACATAACTTTGTTATTCCTGGCTCATTTTTCCTGATTGAGGTGTCATATGAAAGGTCAGAAATTGAACTTTCTAGAAATGTGATTTTCTCCTTGAAAATCAGATACCGCCCGCCAAATGACTTTTTTGGTTCCTCTCTTCAAATTGCTTTTAATCACTCGTGCGTGAAATATGCATTATATGAGTTCCATCAAATGAAAGAAGAGGATCTAAGCTTTACAAATATGTGTCATTTATCAATTATAATTGTGATTAAGTTATGATAAAACATCGATAATTCTCGGTTTCGTTTTTTCTGGGACGCACTCTATACCTTCAACATGGGCAGTTGTTTCGCTCACATGTAAAATTAAGGCTAATCCACCGTTTACACAGAAATAGGATACAAAACATGGTTAAATTTGGTGATGTTAAACTAATAGTCATACATAATAATGATTTAAATTGGGTAATGGCTTGTTTCGTTTCCTTATCTCTGATCAAATCAAAGAGAAATTTTTACCATAAAACCATCCGATGGCGATGCTCTCGAAGAAACATATCCAAATGATAGGGAAGGCACTATCCCCATAGTTACTGAAGAGCGTGAAGACGTAGAGACCACCCTAAAATGTAATCAATAATAACAACAAATATAATAATCATAATGATGATGATAATAATAATATTGATAACAATACTACTGCCACTGCTACTACTACTACTACTACAACTACTACTACTAATAATGATAATATCATTAGTGATAATCCTCGTCGTCGTCGGCGTCCTACAAGTCATGACTGACCCTTAGTGACCCTATATATAATGAAGTTCCAACCAATTCTATCCTGGGCATAGCGATTAGCTGTGCAGATGTTCATGCCAGTAATCTTTTTTTTAGTCCATCAGCTCATCGAACCTTTGGCCAACCACGTTTCCGTTGACCCTCAACGTGACCTTGGGTTATGATCTTCTCCATGTTGTCACCTTCTCTTCTTGATATGTGTCAAAATACCGCAACTTGTTATTATCTATTTTCTGGCATAGGGTGGCTTCCGCTTCAATTTTTATCTTGACAAAATCATTTGATTTATGAGCCGTCCAGGATATCCTCAGCATCCTCCTCCAACACTACATTTCGAAAGCATGGATTTTCTGCTGCTCCAAGCGACCACGTCTCTGACCCGTATGTAGCGATTGAAAAGACCAGAGCAATCATCATATGAATATTGGTTTTCCTTGAGATCTCTCTATCTTTCCAAATGTCAGTAAGGCTTATGGCAGATGATCTAGCCATGGCGAGACGTCATCTAATTTATGGTGAGCTTCCACCACCATCCACAATTAGACAGGGTTGACTACTTCGATATCCTCTCCATCAGCTTGAATATGATGGCCCTTCTTTCCTCCACATATCATTACCTTTGTCTTCTTAATAATGAGGTACAGTCCATATTCCTCACTGGCTTTTTGACTCTTTCAATAAGGCCCAATAAATACAGTATTGATAATAATAATAACAGTAAATATAATGCTAATGAAAATAATTATATTGATAATAAATGTATATAGTACTGGTTTCTTTCATAGCACTATATCGAATTGATGATCGTAAACTAAAAACTAATAACAAGAATATAATATAAACATCACACAGTTAACTACACTGTTGGTCATAATGGTGGAATAATTATTTTTACCCCTGTTTAGGGAAGGATTTAAAAAAGTTATTTATTTCGAATAGATCTAGATAATGGCATACATTCTCATATTTTATTGAATATTAATTTGCGAGTGTTTGTTTTGCGTGACTGCTAAATCATATGTGTGCTACTATGCTAATCAGCTAGGGAACCTACGTCCTTAAATCATAACTGACAGTAATGAGGATTAATGCCTCACAAAAGGGCACTAATATAGCTGATCGAAACGATTTTTATCCTGGGGCCTCACAGTAACGAGGCCGTTGCTTAGCCCCTGAATCATGACTGTACGCAGTGTTTGCTAGGGTACGCGGCCGCCCCCACAAATCCCCCAAAACGAAGAAAATGCAATAAATTTTCAAAAATTCATTGCATTTCCCCCGGCCCCCAACAGGAAAAATTTCTCTGTATGGCCATGCCTTGAACCATAATGCATGGCCCTACAGACGAATTTTTCCTGTTGGGGGCCGGGGGAAAAAGCAATGAACTTTTGACAATTTATTGCATTTTCTTCGTTTTGGGGGATTTGTGGAAGGGGCCACGTACCCTAGCAAACACTGCGTACAGTCATGAATCAGGGGCTAAGCAATGGCCTTATTACTGTGAAGCCCCAGGATAAAAATCGTGTCGATCAGCTATATATTAGTGCCCTTTTGTGAGGCATTAATCCTCATTACTGTCAATTATGACTTAAGGACGTAGGTCCCTTAGCTGATTAGCATAGTAGCACAGATATGATTAAGCAGTCACGCAAAACAAACATTCGCAAATTAATATTCAATAAAATCTGAGAATCTATGCCATTATCTAGATCTATTAGAAATAAATAATTTTTAAAAATCCTTCCCTAAACTGGGGTAAAAATAAATATTCCACCATTATGACCAACAGTGTACAATGTAAATACATGTAAATATGTTACAAGATACTTCTTGAACGATTCAACAGAGGAACGAGAACTTTGTCAAATCTGATTTCAAGTCGATCTCAGTAGAGGCAGGCGGAAATTGGCATAAACAGATTAATGAATGTTGGACGAAAATCTGACATTCTCAAGAAGGAAGTTATACATTTTATAAGAAAATAAAATATTTATTATCAGGCCGATATTATCATATACTCCTCTATAAAATAGAATTAATAAATGAATTCTTCATCAACAGCCCTCAGAAGTCTAGAGCTGTAGTGGTCAAGTGGAAACGTCTTCAGATTGTGGATCGAAGGGATCGCAGTTCAAGTTCTCCAACGGAACTAATGTCCTTTTGCAAGACATTAATCTACATATGCCACTCTCCATCCAGGTGTTAAATGGGTACTGGTGGGAACGAGTTCCTTGGATGCCATGTGAGCACCGAAACCGGTAGCCTCGCGGAGCCGGGGTAGGCACCATGAGCACGTACCGTGCATGGTGAATATGTGCCTTATAAAAATATCCAATATCAATAAGTTTATCATTGGTAGTATTATGTTTTCATTAATTTATGTTCTTGACCACTAAATATCTTTACGTGTCGATATCGTACCTGAGTTACCATACTAAGGCCAATCAGGAAGTTTACAAAGCAGACTCCCAATACGAATAGCCCTTTATAATACCCAATCCGCAGCGAGGTAGGGAAAAGATCCAAGACAGACGTGATGAACGCCCCTACCATGACGAGCTAACGTAGAAAAAAGGATGATAACAAATTTTTAGTTCATGAAATGGGGAGTGTTGGTTGCGTTTTAAGGGAGAAAATTAATTATAAACTATGCTTTCACATCCACATAATTTTTTGCCGATATTATCAGAGTATCAAAACATTACATGATTTGAGAGGAAAGAAGAATAATTTTTTTTCTCAAAGTTTTTGAAAATATTTAAGATGTTGAAAGGAATGACAAGGCTTAAATTAAGCGGATGAAAAAGGTCGAAACGGTTTAAAGGTTGAGAAAAAGATAAAAAGATTGAAGGTTGGAAATTGTTGAAGAATTTTGAAGAAATTGAAGAAGGGTTGGCCTTTTCGGCCATTACAGACCTTACACAGTTGCAATGTTGTAGAGGTTGAAAAGGTTATCAAAGTTAAACATATTTAAAAGGGCGAATGGGAAATAAATTATAGGTCTTACTATTGGGAAATTAAGTATAGGTATAGGTGAAGCAAATGCAATCTATAGATAAAGATTCTCGATCGAGTCTTTTAAAAAAAAAATATCAGGCATAGATTAAATTAAATTCTGTTTCAAATCAATACATTCTGAAACCTACTTATGGTACAAATACTGTTAAATGAAAACAGTCGAGTTAAAAACATTGAAATTTAAGGATTTTGGTATGATGATCCACAATGTCTTTCTTATAGCCATTTCGTTGATAGACATTAAACTTGCAAAGGCTGATCCAGAGGGGGTCAATGCGGTCCAGACCGCTCCGTTTTCCTTGTCAGAGATTTGTAAGCTTAATTTTTGCTACACATCATGATAGAAAATATGTGATGATTTTTGCTTTTGCTTGTCAGATATAGGTATTAAGAGTAAAAAGGGCAGTAAAGACATTCTGATGATTTTGATGCCTCTAAGGGTACGTTTATGCTCAATTTTGAAGGCAGAATGAGCGATTTGAAACGCTCATCGTATACGCTCATCGTAATCGCAGTTCCACGGTGTACTGTAAATGCTCTTTTCTCTGGCTCCTCCAGGCATGATTCTGGCTGAGAGCCAGAATCATGCCTGGAGGAGCCAGACTAAGTGCAGTGCAGAGTCTGCACTGCGCATGCTATGTTGACCCCATTTAAACGCGTTTACAAATGATTGTGCGGTTATGCTTCCCCAGAATCGCCGATTCAAAACGCAACTTTTTGTGAGTTTACGATCGGCGATTATGATCGCCGTTTTTCTGCGATTCTCCAAAATGAGAAAGGACGCAACCGTGTTTTGAACTAAACGCGTAACAAATGCCTCATTCTGGCCAGAAAAAGTTGACCATAAACGTACCCTAACTCTTGTCAGAATTCTGACCTCCGCCATCCCACTTAGGCCAAATCCTAGTCCAGCCTCTGTACCGTTTCCGTGTCGCGCGCCTAATCAGCTGATCAAATAACACACCCTCAACGTGGAATGTAGACCTAGCCATTCCCCTCATAATGTACCACCTGACCTCTAGAGGTCAGTGAATGTACCCCGATAATGGACGGAAATTTGGGGGATCGCGCAATCAGTGGAGGGACCGCACTGTGTGTGGGATCGATGCGTGTGATAGAAGAATCAAAACAAAGAACGGACTGAAACTGGACTACCCCAATCCTTGTTTCTTCCCCGATTACCTGAGAGTTTAGCCCAATCTTTAGGACCACTAGGAAGAAGAAAATTGCCGAGACCCTTGATGAAGGCATTGCAGCAAAAGCACGCGGAAAGACCTCGAAAAAAAGACCAGGACCTAAAGTAATCAAACAAAATCAAAATTAATGATAAAAAAGAAAACGAAATAACTGATTTGTATCAAAGGACGTACATATAAATATACAGAATGAAAATTATTTAAGCGGGAGGGGATAATCATTTTGAAAATGTTTCTCACCACCAAGATATATCATTGGTTGATTAATGTGGTACTCAGTATCCCACAACGTATTAATTTCAAACGTTCTACGAAGCAGGGGGGGGGGGGGGGAGGGGAGAAAGTCCTCAAACTCCTCATAATCATCGGTTTCGCAAACAAGAATAAAATATACAGTTTTAAATGAAGTTAGTAATACCCCTTGTTAATTAATAATTTGTAAATTCTAGAGGGAAAGGTATACTAGTTGAATAACGGCTTTTGTTAAATATCTTTAGATGTAAGCTTTAAAGGTGAAATTCATAGAAAATCACAAATATGTCAACTAATGTATTACTACAAACTGGTAAGCTAACAGATGGCCATCATACAAGTTTTAGGTCAACTACGTATCGGGTGATTTATAAAAATACAAATACAACCACCTCCATAGCAGCTGGGATATACGAGAGATTCGCCCGAAAAATAACGATGTTTTAATGACGTCACTATATGGACCAATACTGCCCAAGCAGACGACATCCCATAAAGAATGCACATAATTGCAAAGCTATTATTTGTCGAATTATGATGAGTTTAGTGTACATGTAATGGCATGTCAAACTATTCAAAAGGGGATATGACCCGATTCTGATAACTAAAATCTTTTGCTTGTAAATACACAGGATAGGAGTTAATTAACAATCAAAGAAACCAGACTTTCTAATTGAAGCCCCCGGAATGATATTAAGGACGGCATGTGTTCCCTCTTGAAACGCCGAACACACCGCGGTGTGTGCAGCTGAATATACAATGGCGTCTTATTTTGTTTATACGCGACAGATTCTTTTATTTTGTATCGCTGCATTTGTCATCAAAATAAAAACATGCGCGGGTTTTAGAGTGAGGTAATAGATTATACATTTAGCCTGACGGTAGTGAAGAGAAAGAACTCAAGAGAAGATGAAAACACAGGCACTGAAAATGTGTGAGATGCCATGCGACATCGTCTGCTTGTGCAAATCATGTCCATACTGTGATCTCACACATCTCAGCAGCGTTCGCAGAGCTCTTCAGGTGCTATGCAGGGGCTGTATTTAAGCGTTTTGTAATTTTGTAATCATTACTTCGGAGGTTTCCACGCATTAAATTTTGATAACCTTGTCGAATCGAAGTGTCAACTTTGCAATAATGAAAATAAAGTTAGTTTTTAAATTCAATGAATATCTACTTTAATATGGCACATTTTCAAGAAACATAGATTGGGACGAATGCATTTTCACAAACATACACAAGTTATACCGGTAGCAGATTAATACAACCTCTCCTCCCACCAGTAGGCAAGTGATGCTTGGGTTATGGTTAAGGTAAGTGGGTGGGAGGGGTGAAGCCCTCACCCCTCCTCACCACAGTAGACAAGTGGTGTTAGGGTTAGGGTTAAGGTTAGACGGTGGAAGGGGTGAAGCCCTCAGCCCCTTTCCCAGCAGTAGCACAGTGGTGATATAGGGTTAGGGTTCAAGTTAGAGGGTGGGAGGGGTGGAGCCCTCAACCTCTCCTCCCCACCAGTATGTCAGTGGTGTTAGGGTTAGGTTTAAGGTTGGAGGGTAGGAGGGGTGAAGCCCTCACTCCTCCCCACCAGAATCACCAGTGGTGATACAGTTAGGGTTAAGGTTAGCGGTGGGAGGGGTGGAGCCGTCACCCCCCCTCCTTACCAGTAGGCCAGTAGTGCTAGGGTTGGGGTTAGGGATACAGGGTGGGAGGGGAGGAGGCCTCATCCCCCTCCCCACCAGTAGGTCAGTGGTGATAGGGTTAGGGTTAAGGTTAGAGGGTGGGAGGGGTGTAGCCCTCATCCTCCCCCACCAGTAGGTCAGTGGTGATATAGGGTTAGGGTTCAAGTTAGAGGGTAGGAGGGAGTGAAGCCCTCACCCCTCCCCACCAATAGGTCAGTGGTGTTAGGGTTAGGGTTAAGGTTAGACGGTGGGAGGGGTGTAGCCTTCAACCCCTTTCCTACCAGTAGGTCAGTGATGCTAGGGTTAGGGCAAAGGTTAGAGGATGAGAAGGGTATAGCCCTCAACATCACTTCTCCACCAGAAGAACAGTGGTGCTATGATTAGGGTAGTGGTGCTGACACTACTCTTACCTGCATCAACGGCTCCACTTATTGGGATATCCTCAGCGAACGCTACGAAGCCAACGAATGAAGAGACGATGATAACACTGTAGATACTTGTAATCACATTTAAGAAGGCTACGATCATGCTGTCCCTAAAGACAATCAATAATCACAAAATAGCCTTGAAGATAATGATGAGTGAATGTTATGCAGGTACATTGTAAAATAAACAATCTAGAAGCAACTGGGAAAGGCTGATTATGGAGTACAAGAGAATCGATGTTTATAATAAACAAAGCTTGTAATGATCAACATCAGTAGCAGATCTAGGGTTAGGCTTGGGGGGGGGGGGGGGGGTGATTCCCCATTTCTTCAAGGCCCCCTCACCCCTGAACAAAAATCGAAAGGCACGTATAGAAATGAAAGCAAGAACTTTCATGTTCCATAAAATCCCCTCCCCAATGCTCCCCTTTTATTTTCATAGAACCGCTTCAGATAACATAAATAAAAAGCCTCATTTTGCGAAATATCACACAGAAATCAGTTATGGGACTGCATATAAATGTTTGGTCCACACTTTTCATCTTATTCTTGTGTTCATCACGGCGTTTTAATAGCGATCCTTTTCAGGAGACACTTTCACTATGATATTCTTTCAAACTGACCGTATACAAAGAATGATAAAGCTCATAAATATTTTTCAACTGTCCGAAAACCCAACCTTCTATTTAAAAAATATTTTTCTTAAAGGCATAGACCGGAAGTGGTAAAATTGCGGTTCAAGTGTTTTGGGTGCAAAATAACCATTCAATATTGTTTAAATATTTCCTTCAGAGGTTCTAGATGGCAATACTTCAAACTAGATTCGCAAAAACAGAAATATATGCCCAAAATATGTTCAATGTTGGATATATATCTATATATCTATCCAGGCCGGATCGCTTTGATAATTTACCAAATGTATCAATTAGTAGGCGGTTTCCCGGCAAAATTTGTATCATCATGTATTAGTCAAATCATATTCTTTCAGATGATAAGTAATAAGAGCTTCCATTTCTTTTTTTTGAGAGGGTGGCGTTTCCAAAACTGGTCTATACCTTTAAGACATACCGAGTAGAAATCGAGACAAATTAAAATCATCAAAATGAATGAAGGTAGGTCTACCATATCTGAATTGAAAATACACTATGTTTTCTTCCCGCAGCTATGATCTTATTGCAGTATCCCTTGAGCGGATAATAAAGGTCATTCATCCGTGTTCTTTTCCATTATTTCCTCTTCTCTCTCTGTCTCTTTCTATCTCTATAAGATTATATCGTGTAGCAAAACAAAAGATAAAGGAAATCAGTAGAAAAAGTTTAAAAAAATGAATGAATCAATAAAATGGATCCGGGCTTACTGGGCACAAGGTCCGCGGTTCGAGACCTGCCGCGGCACTAATGTCCTTTGGCAAGGCATTGATCTACATTTCCCACACTCAACCCAGGTGATGTAAATGGGTACCTGGCAGGAATTAAATCCTTGAAAGGCTTGAGCGCCGTAATGGCAGCACAGCTAAAGCCGGGGTAATAATCTCCATAAAAAAACTGAGTGTTATTATTATTATTATCCGAAATAACAGATCATCGATCGCAAATAAGTCGGTTTGCCTCCCAAAATTTTAAAAAAGAAGAAGAAGGTTTTTCAACGGTTTCCGGTAGTTCCGGCGGGTCATACTTTTAATATTGCTACATGTATTACAGCTTTCCTGTAAATAATAACTTCCGGTTATTTTGGGAGACTGTCGGCCATTTTGGACGCCATTTTGGATCTCCCGATTTTCGGGTAGGTATAACCTAATGAGTAATGTAAGTGGTATAAATGGATTCTTCGAACCCTCAACCTAGGTATTGACACCAAAATTAAATCTTTTAAGATGATTATATCATGATTTACAGCTATTTGAGGCTTGGGTGGCCGTCTTGGACGCCATTTTGAAAACCACCACTTTCCGGGGGTTTATTTTCTTAGATTGTTCATATGTTGTTTCTGATGTCAAACACCACCGGAAACCGTTGAAAATCCTTTTCTTGCCGCAACGGTTGGGGGTCTAACCATAATTATATTGACCCGACTAATTTGTGATTGATGATCTGTTCATTGGCGGCCATCTTGGACGCCATTTTTAAAGTAACCACTTTTCCGGTGTCCGATTTTCTTAGATTGTTTATAGCATGTTGTTCCTGATGCCACTACCGGAAACCGTTGAAAGACGTGTGTTCGCTACTATGTTTGGAGGTTGGGGTATCATTTATCCCGACTAATTGACCTGAATTTACACTTGCATGAACTTAAACAAAAATTTAACCGTCTTTTTCAAATACCTAGTGCGAAAACAGTGGAATAGATGAAATAAAGGTAATATTTGAAAATTTCAGACGGTGAAGTTTTGCAAACCCTGAGAACAATAATTTCATGAAGAATATGATTCATCCAATGCCTTTGAAATAAATATTTTATTTATTAATCATTTGCTGGTCTACTTACTGCTCCATGAAACTAATGGTTTTCGTATGGAGTTCCGGTGCTAGCAATTATATCAAACTCTTGAAATCTTATAGCTGATCGAGCGATTCTGAGTTTGCCTTAGTGCCCGCTGCTTTTCTTTTCTTGCCACGAGAAGAGAATATTACAAGCAAGTGTTTTTGTACCAACCTATAGAAGTTGTAGTGGAATTTGTTGAAGCTTCCAAGGGCTGTGAAAGCACCTAGTCCAATCGAGAAGGAATAGAAAACTTCTGTTCCAGCGGCTATCCACACCTTTACAAACCATTTGATGAAGAAAAATAAAGTCAAATGCCTGTCGATTGCTATGTATTTCATGTGCTTTTATTGTAAACTGAATGCAGTTCACCTATTGGGCCGATATTTCCAGTTAAACCATTCAACAACAACAACAAGAAAGTGGATGGAGACCAAAACAAAAACAACAACAAATAAAACAAAACAAAACAATGAACCGTAGATCGCCATCATAGTAAAGCGTCGCTTATGATTGCAGTCTCCTGGACTTTTGTCTACAGATAGTTAGGATAATACTTCAAATTCATAATAATATAGTATAGAAGAAGTTCGTTTATATATGTATATATTGTATTAATCACAATTTGAAATGAAGTTATATTATTAGCGTATTTTTATTATACCTAACGTTTACATTTTCTTTGTTATTCAGTGTATTTTGAAAAAATGCAGATATCAATTCAAATCATGATTTAAAAAAGGGAGATTATTTTGCCTATTAAATTCAGACACGGTTAAGGTAGCGCTGCATAGTTTTACTCGTTCTGAGCTTTACAAATATTGGAATGACCAGTTTGAAGACAAAGAGAAATATTGATTATATTAAAATAAACAAATCCTAAAGGCCCGAATTCACAAAGATGGTTTGTCGACAAACCTAGGTTTATGTGCGTCATATGACGCGTTCCGATGCATTTCAGACCAAGGTTCAGACAAATTTTAGTCCGAAACGCGTCGGAACGAGTCATGTGACGCACATAAACCTAAGTTTATCTACAAACCTCCTTTGTGAATTCGGGCCACAAAGTTAATGGTTAATGTTGTTTGCTTTGATACACATTAACATTTTCTCTCGAGGTAGATTCATAAATGCTCAAGACCACCTAGAACTAGAACAAGTCGACTGCACTAAATTTCTGGGACTTTATATTGATAGTGATTTATCTTGGAAATCCCACATTTCTAATTTGAGCAAGGTCCTCTCAAGAAATACTGGTATACTTAATAGACTTAAACACTTTTTTCCCAGTAAAATTTTATCAACAGTTTATTCTGCTATAATAACTCCATACCTCACCTATGGAATTCTCGCCTGGGGTAACGCTAGTGGAAATCTAATAAATATGCTTTTTCGCATTAAAAAACGCGCTATTAGAAATATTAATCATGTAGGATACCTTTTTCACACCAACAACCTGTTCCATGAAAACAGAATCCTAAAATTATCAGACTTATTCTATTGCAATGTTGGTATATTCATGTACAATTTATCTACTAATAACCTACCTGAAATATTTGTACAAATGTTCCGGAGAAATAGATCCCTACATGATTATCCCACATGTCAGAGCAACGCATACCACCTTCCACGTACCCGAACTGTTTTTGCCCCCAAAACGATTATGTTTACAGGACCCAGTTACTGGAATGCCCTCCCGTTAGAGTTAATTGAAAGTCAGTCCTTATATACTTTTAAACGTAAACTGAAGGAACTGCTTTTCAAAGCATATCTTGATGTCAATGTATATATGACCTTTGTGTGCAAGCACGTTGTGTCTGGTTGTTGTGCTTTCGGAAATACGTATTTAAAAAAAAAACAACAACAACAATAAAACATCGTTACTTCTATATCCGAGAGTGCGACGGCTGACACAGTGTGCTTGCTCGCTTCGTTATTCTATTTATGTATGTAATATACAAATGTATTCATTTTACTATTATCTGTAATGTTCGTTTACCAGCTGAGCACCCATTGTATGATAATTTAAGTACGTGTACTTTTATCTACACTTAAATAAAGGAAGGGATAATATAAACAGCACCACCGCAAGTTTATTATTATTTCCTTTTTATTTTTTGATTAATTTAGACTGGTCACTATTACATGCATATCCGTCCTCCATTTATTACCACAAATACTTTTACTGGGGCCTACAGCCTTACAAGCTTGCTTTCATGTAGTTCCTATCAAATTTCTCTTAGTTAAATCACTAATTCATATTGACCACTTATCTTTGTTATTATTATGTATCATTGAAAAAAACAATTTTGTACTTCATTTGAAATATATGTATGTTTATGAAATAAATGAAATGAAATATAAACGAGTTAATGGTATTTATATATGTTCAAGGAGTTTCAAGTACATGATCTCTCGTATTTATCCTTATATATACGTGTTCTTGTCAGAATAAACAAATGATTAAAAAAGAATATATTTAATGTGTATATATATGAATATATATATATTATATATGTAATATAATATATACAATACAAGAAATAATAATGCTCCGTAGACGAAGATATTGTTCTATAAATTGTCGCCCTTAGGGCTTTGTCAAGTAATGATTTTATTTTATGAGAATGAGATGCGCTTATATCGATGCATAACAATACAATTTTCAAAGTCAAATAAATTAGTCAAATTCAAATGATTACATAACATGGGAATACAGGTCCTCTAATCAGAGAGAAAACACGATAGGAAATACCTTCGCGAAATCAACAGATGCAAGATATTATACAAGCTTTGAAGACCGTTTACCTGTGTTCTTCCAAGTAGATATATGTTGGGGTAGAGAAAAAACCGCAAACCATCATACGCTCCTGGTAAAGTGACCCCACGTATAAAAAATGCGGCTAGTACAAGGTGTATATAGGGAACGGTGACATAAGCTATCTGCAAATTAAGAGAAGTAAGAATAAAAATTATACCACATCTAGTTCGGTTTCAACAATTTTACACTCAATATGGTCATAAAGTGGGAATTTCTATACAAACTTTATTTTTAATTTTTCATCATCATCCTCATCACCATCACCGTTTTTAATATTATTTTAACACCCATCCCCCGGACTATCACGTTATCAAGCAAGCGCTTTACTGTGATAACCCTTCTTTTGCAGGCTTCTTCATGAATAATTCTTGGTAGTGTCATCAGTAACATGTTGTTTTAATGTCAACTTTTGTTATTATTACACTTTGTACACGTTCAAACAAATGTCGTATCGCTGAAATGTAATTTGATTTGTCTGTTGCACAAGACAATACATTTAATTCAATTCACTTTTAAAAAAGGCAAGTTGAAGGAAAAAAAACATGATTAATTTCTGATCGAAATCACATGATAAAAGAATGATCATTGGTATTAAAAATAAGAAAACAAAACAAAAAGAAGTAATATACAAATTATTTCTCGGATTTACGGGTCGAATTATGAATTGAGTGCACCTTTTAAAATGAATGTACTGTTTTTAATCAAACCAAGCTATTTACACTAGTTTAACTACAATAAGCCTTGCTTAAATGTTTATGCTCACAGCCAACAATAAAAAGTAAATTAAGCAAATGGGTACGTAGTGTGACCAATGTAGCTAAAAAGCCGAGATATTTTAGCAGTAGAACAGGGTGTCTAGCTCATAGTGTGACAGACATATTCGTTGTACAAGGACCCACTATATTATTCCTCTTTTCTTCATTAAAATTATTATCATTATCATCGTCACTATTATCATCATCATTATTATCATCATTATTATTACTATTTCTATTATTATCATTATTATTGTAAGTATCATTATTATTGTAATTATTACGAGCACAATCATCATCATCGTCATCATCATTACAATTACAAGGAATGAACTGTAAACAAATCATTGCAATTTCGTATTTTGGGGGTCATTTTTTCGTCATAAAATTATTACAGACAAATAAACAAACAATAAACAAAAATATAAAATTACCTTGCCGCTCAATTTGACTCCCATCCAGAGGCCAAAGTAGATGAGCGTCCATGCGAGGAAGAGGTTTAGGGCAAGATACCAAACAATACGTCCTACGTCATGTATTCCGTCTGTCTGATTTAGCACATTGAATCTAGCAAAGGAAAATGACAACTGATAAAACTAGATCCCATTTTTCAGTTCACTTCATCTTTATTTCATTTTGACTATCGAGTTTTCCTAACATTCACTAATTTCTTGACACTCCTTTTTCTACTAAGAAATACGAATTTTTTCTCAAAGTACACTTTAATTCAAAGAATACAGAAAATAATAAAGAGTTATCCTGACGGAAGCGTTAACAACTACAACATCAGTTTGTGGTATCACTGAGGCTGCAAGGTGACATCAGTTCAGTTCATTTCGGTTTGTTAATATCAACATACACAATGTACAATGCAGTAGTCCAGGGACCAATGATGCAATGTTTACATAAAATATGCATACAAACAGAAATGATTATAATTTCGAGGTATGGAATCCTCAGTAGTTAAAGGAGTGTCAAGAAATTTGTGAATGTTAGGAACACTCGATATTCAAGATGAAATAAAGATGAAGTGGAGCCCCCCCCTCCCCATCATGTTCTATTTTCCCAGATTTTTCTGCCATATCCTGCAGTAGACTTAACCAGTAATACACCCGGATGTGGCTTTAGACAAAGATGTTGACTTTACTCATTTTCAGACAGTAGCGGTTCTAGAGAGGGGCTGGAGGGGACCCTTCTTCCCTCCAAGCCCCCTCAAAGTATTGATTATAAATGAATTTAAGCGAGGCACATGTAGAAAATGAATGCAAGGGCTCCAGGCTCCTCCCTACCCGTCATTCTTTTAGAAACTCGCCTGATGGGGAGGGGGGGGGGGGGGGGGAATGACTGCGCCCCTCAAATAGCTTTAAAAAACAACATAATTTCAACCGGAGCCCCTTTGTATATTCTATTCGCAAGAGGGTGTATGCATGGGCGTCGCTAAAGGGGGGGGGGGGGGCTGTGGGGGTGCGACACACCCACCTGTCAGGAAATTGTGGGTAAAATTGCGCTGACGTCGGGAAAATTGAGAGAATGGGGAGGGAAAGAAAAGAAAAAAGAAAAGGAAAAGAAAGGAAAGAAAGAAAGAGAAAGTAAGAGAAAAGTAAGAAAGAAAAGAAAGTAAGAGAAAAAAGTTAAAGAGGAAAGAGAGGAAAGAAAGTAAAAAAAAGAAAAGAATGAAAAGGAGTAAGAAAAAAAGAGAAAAGGAAACAAAAGAAACGGGGGATGAAAGAGAGGAGAGAGAGAGAGAAAGAGAGAGGGGGGGGGGGGGAAGAGCCTGAGAGAGAAGGGGTGGGAGTAAGAGAGAGAGAGAGGAGAGTTGTTAGGTGGAGTCGTCTCGTCAAGGGAGCAAGAAAGATACGCATATATGTTGCTGTGTCGGATCAGCTGTGTCGATTCTGGCTCGATTCATGCTCGATCCTCGTGTACGTTATCAATTAAAGTTTAATGGTCTAAGGCATGGCTACACAAAGAATTTTTTCTGTTTGAGATCGGGACAAAATGCAATGAATTATTGATAATTTAGTGCATTTTCTTTGTTTTTTTTTGTATTTGTGGGGGCGGCCCTGTAACCTAGCCTCCGTTGCGTACAGTCACGATTCAGTGGCTAAGCACTGGCCTTGTTACTGTGAGGCCCCATGATCAAAACCGTGTCGATGTGCTGTAGTGCCCTTTTGCGAGGCATTAATCCTCGCTACTTTCAGTTATGACTTAAGGACGTAGGTCCCCTAGTTGATTAGCATAGTAGCACACAATGCTTTAACAGTCAAGCAAAACAAACACTCACAAATTATTATTCAATACAATCTGAGAATATATACTATTATCTAGATCTATTAAGAATAAATCATTGTCAAAATCGTTCCATAAATTGGGTTAAAAATAATTATTCCACCTTTATGACCAACAGTGTATTTGTCGGGCTACTTTTGTCGGTAATTGGTAGCCTCTACACCCCCACTGAAAAAGTTCTAGCGACGCCCCTGTGTGTATCCGGAATGGAAATCCGGTGTGTAGGTGGCGTGTACCGTCTGTTCCGATCTAGGCATATTTTGAGTTTGATATCGGATATCACATAATCCAGACTTTATTCACATACATTCAGCGATGATATACCTGTATATCTACAATTTGGCATACATCTTGGTTAAATGGTTCTGACCCCGTTTTAAGTCAACGGATTGCAGATCACAAGGTAGAGAGTTCAAATCCCGGGCCAACGCTAATGTTGTTTTCAAAAGCCGTTAATCTACAATTGCCACTCCCAACCCAGGTGTAAATGGGTACCCAATGGAAATCAGATTTCGATGTTAGGGCTTCCACTCCAGGAGAGGTAAATACATTTTTTTTTTTAAATGGGCGCTATTTACTTTTACGGGTCGGCTCTATAAACCGGGGTATTAATCAAATATCGAAGTGCCATGATACATGTGCATTATTATTATATTATTATTATTATTACTATTATTAATATTATCATGATATCGCTATTATTACTGTAGTCATTCAATGAAAGGTGAATTTTAGTCATACGAATACAGTATGAAAAACGTTACTGGAAGGAATAGCCTGGTTTAGTAACATATTTAAAGTTAAGAAAGTTTTTATTCAGAGGACCTAGTCATGAGTTATCCCATTCACCTGTTATTAATGAAAGAACTACAATACTTGGAATCCAGTATGCATACATTACTTGTTGAAATGTCTGGGAAGCGCCGAACAAGCGTTCGGTTTATCAAGAATAACCTCGTCTGAAAAGTATGTATACAATTTGAATATGTTAGTAAACCGGTCTAAGTGGGAAACGTTGATGATATAGTAGTATTGATACTGTGAGTTTTAGAATCATCATCATCTGACATCATCATCATCATTATCATGAAACTTACTGCCAGAACTCCTGGGCCGGGTTGGTGGTTGAAGGGTAATTATAAGCACATTTGTCAGGGTTATCTGAAGACCCTGCTACATCCCTACTGTTCCACGATGGAGCTCGCGGTGCTTCCGTTGGATACGTTTCCCACTTGTTGCCGATGATATAGGTTCCGTTGACGCACACCCATTTAGACTAGAGTCAATGAATTCAACGTGATACAGTATAACAACAACAATGGTTAATACCATATTTATTATCATTTTTATTATCATTATTATCATCATTATCGCGATTGCAACTACCTTCGAAAATCAGCCTAAGGCAATTCCAATGGCCTTAATTTGTACATCACCTTTTGAGATGTGCGAACATTGCAAAGACGTGTGACGTAATAAGGGAGTTTACAGATACAATCTGCGCATGGGCAGATAAAGGTCATTTGTACCAAAATGGTAAAACCCACAGAGATGAATACTGGATATGCGCTCATGAAAGTTATGTGACATTATTCATTCATGCACTAACGGTACATTCTATGATACGCAGGTGGAGGTATTCTTTTCAAGAGGTCAAACAAAAGGTATTCATGAAGCACATCTAGGACTTTGGCAGACATTATTCAAAAGATGCTCAAAGTGGAACTTCTCCATGTGTAAAAGATCTGTGGATCTTTGGGGTCATTTGGACTATGTGCTATCTGTAAACTCCCTTATTCGAACAGGATTTCTGTGGGATATACAATAAGTTGATATTTCGAAATTAGTGGCGATCGTGTTTATCATTACTTGTATCATTAACTCAACTCAAACTTCCCATCTAGAGCTATGCACGAACACAAAGACTTTCGAGAAATCAACCGAAGCCCTTGTCCTCAATAGCCTTGTCCATTACCCACTGAAATGTGCGATAAATGTATGATAAGGGAATCTGAATAGAACTTATATGTGATATAGGGTATTGGAATAGACAATTTTCGTTATGGAATCAAATTTCATGCACAAATCTTTTCTAAGTGCCTTGTTACAATGTATTAGGCGCGTTATAAATGTGATCTATTATTATTAATATTACACATTGTTTCATTCACCCGCTTAACTACGAATAATTGTATTTCAATAGTATTTCAATTGTAAAATGCGAATTACAGACTTATGACTTGTCCTACCTAACAACACATTCGTCCGAATTCACAAAGGAGGTTTGTCGACAAACCTTGGTTTTCGTGCGTCATATGACGCGTTTCGACGCGTTTTTACAAACCAGGTTTGTGAAAAATGCGTCAAAACGCGTCATATGACGTACATAAACCTTTTGTTTGTCGACAAACCTCCTTTGTGAATTCGGGCCATTATGTTAGCAAGTTGCATTCTGTCTATTGAAATACAATTCGAAGCCTGTGAATAGAATAATTTGTAAGGAGGCTCTTAAGAAAGATTTCTGCATTAAATGTTATTACATTTTTGTTTGTTCCCTAGATACAGATATACCAGATACTTGTCGTTGTCGTATAAGTTTGCCATATTTGGTTTACCAGGGGGGGGGGGGTGGGGTGACTTGTGTGCCCGACTCCCCCCCCCCCCGATCCACCACTGAGGAAGCTTTAAATAATGGGATGGAGTGGGGGAGGGGAGGGATGTACAGAGTCTAGACTTACGGAGCTTTCAAGGCATGAAGCTGTGTTCCATACATTATTGCATCTCGTCCAGGGGAACTCACCGCCAAGGCACGAACTGTAGAGGTAGTATAGAGTCCAAGCCAGGATGACGTTATGGTAGATGGTACGCCACCAAGCGACGACAGTGGTGGCGACACCAATACCTACGATGATTAAATTAAAGGCGTGTTCAGGAGTGGGCGTGGTAAACCGCCACAAAAAGAGCCACCCGAGTTTTTGTACATGTAAAATGAATAGCAACTATGAGCAACAAAGGACTTCTGCGTATTCACTGAGATCCGTGTGTTGTACACGTAACGTCATCACTAAAAAAAAAATAAAGCCGTGATTATGCCGCGTCATTTCTGTACGAGCCTTGGAGTATTACAACAACAAAAAAAAAAGCGTTCAACATATATTTTATAAAAACTTACCGGCTCCAGCTAGGCTATCGATTTTGCTGTATGCTCACAGAATTTATGAAACACTTCCTACCAGCCAGGTATCCATGTAGTAATACAAGGTTCAAGGTTTCAAGTTTTTTAAATATTTTGTCCACATAATATAATCAAATGAATATGCAATATATACAAGCGTTCAATAACACAATATTAAACAAATGATACGACAAATAATTAAACAATTATTCAAATGAATCATTTAAGATTGGGAAGGTGGTGTAAACATAGTGGAGGTTCTATTAAAAAAGCATGGCTTGTATTTTATAGACCCCTTGAGAATAAAAAAGTTACAAGTGCTCTGTAATAAAATATATATTTAAAAATACCTTGGTTGATTCGAATGTGGGAAATGTCAAACTGATGACTTGCCAAAGGACAGTGGTACAGGTACGGGGCTCGAACCCACGGCCTTCGCATCTTAACCCTAATAAGGCCGGGGGGGGGGGGGATTTTGCCCCCCCCCTCCACGATTTTTCCGATTGCTCGAGAACGCATATGGATGGCGCCCCGCCGCTCGCTGACTTTTTTCTTTCGAGTCTTGCGCATCTTACAAAAAAAAATGAAAATCGGACCTACAATTACAAGGTCAGGTGACCTTTTGTCTTCGCGTGTCAGCCCGAAAAGCGCTCATTTTTGTGATTTGTGTACAAAACATATGGAAATGTCATTCTTCCTAAAATAGATTAAACATTGGTTATTGAGTCTTGTTTAAAGTTTAGGTGGTTGTTTTGGGATTAAAAATAGTTGAATTATAGTAAGAAATGAAATAAAACAACAAAAACAATAAAATACATAAGTTAACAAAACAATGAAATACATAAGAAATTGTAAAAACAAGAAATAACATAAGGAATAAGCTGGCTCTTTCAACTTTTTTTGTCGTATTTTTATTCCAAATGGTCTGATAAATATATGTAGTGAAAAAAATGCTTAAATATGAATAATATATGATTTATGGGTAAAAATGTGATTTTATGACTTTATTTGCATAAATTACCATAAATATGCAAATATGTGAATTTTTCTAAAAATTGAAATCATCATATTATTCTATACACTTCACTTGACATGCGTGCAAATTTTCGCGGAGATCGGCCGCTTTGCGGCCGAGATTCTAAGGGAGGGGGGGGGGGCATAATGGCCCCCGGCCCTACTAAAAACTCAAATAGCCCGGCCTTATTAGGGTTAAGTCAAGTGTGTAAAAGAGTGAAAGAGGCAAGTAATGCTTATGCGCTAAACACTGAAAAAACAATGTCTGGAAGCTTTAGACCGCTCTTTGCTCACATATTCAAATCGATTTTTGTTTTCTTTCCTAGGGACCTAGTGACGAGTGTTTTCATTAATCCGTTTTCAATGAATGAACTACAATACGCGGAATCCAGCCTGCGTACATCATTTGTTGCTATGTCAAGCAACCCTTGTACAAACGTTAGTGTTTTCAAGAACAACCTTTGTTTAAAGAGTATCCCAATAATGTGAATATGTTGGTAAACTGATCTATCGCAAAAGGTTGATTTTGTAGTTCATACAAAATAATGAATAATCCGAGGTAAGGAATAATAATAATATTAATACTTATAAAGCGCATTATAAAACAAAAGTTTCTCTACGCGCTGTACAAGCATCAATTACGAGAAATGTAATCATTCAAAAGGAATAAAGAAAGAGAAATATACAAATCTGATAACTACTAAAATGACTAACTCGTAATGGTTAGGAGCCAGAGCAAAATAACACTGAGTTCCTATAGGAAATATATTTATTCAGATGGTCATATCTCAGCCAATACCTAACATATACAATTGGTTTTCGACATTTGGAAATTATTTTTGATGCCCTTTCGGAAAATGAAGAAAAAAATTGAGAAATTCTAAAAATAGATTTTTGATGACGTCACGCTTCACCACTCTATTTCTTAGGGGATAGGCCTAATTGGTTTCTTCGTAAAAGAGATTAGTCTGGATACAATCTGGTGTTAAATTATGGAAAATCTTATTGAGCATTATTTACATGTGCTTTTATTCTTTCTTATGAATGGAGGGGTGGCCCCTTACCACCCTTTCATGCTTAGTCGCTATAACTTTCCTCGTTTGCCGAACATGACAAGAATACGATCGCCTCCCTGCCCCTCCCACCCCTTGAACCCCAAGATGGGAGTCGAAGCTGAGTGAATGCTGGTTTATTATGTCTTTCCATGGTCGGAAATACCGGGGATGGTTGACACTTTCCCTCCGATTTGGACAGGGGGAGATTACTATCAAAATTCCCTCACGATTTTGTTCTTTATTCACGCACCCCCACCCCTCCATAAACAAACAGAAAGACTACTCTAAACCAACCGTGACTTAAGAGCAAACATTCACCATCAAACATGTGATTACGTTTTCTTTTGTCTTTTTGCTTCTTAGAGGGTTATCGAAAATGAAGGCACCCCCAAAATATTGTGTTGTATATTTATTTTCTTGTCAAGACAAATGCATCCCAAGATATAAACTTTCATCTACGCCCACGCCTACGCATTTAAAGTTTCGTAACCACAATTGCTTCGACACGGTGCCTAACAACGGTTAAAATAACTTTGAAGATTAAAACTACGGACTTTTGTGGGAACCTATAACGTACTGTACGTACTGTATTTTTACGTATCTGGGAATCACGTTTTAGCCATTTCCGTCTTTTCGTTGTCTCCCATTACTAAATTCTTGTTTTATACAATGTATATATGTTTTGTATGTCTTTTCAGAAATATTAATTAATTAGTTATGTTTACCTTGAAAAAGTGGGCATATCTTCCATGCTCTGATGGGACCCGAGGAGGTGTATTGACCGAGTGCCGTCTCCAGGAACATGAGAGGAATCGCAAGAAACATGGAACATAGTAAATATGGGATGAGGAAGATAACTGTTGAGAGAGAGAGAACATAATCAAAAGTGTTACCAAACCATACGGCTTTTACTACTACTGCTGTCCTACTACTACTATTACTAGTTGGTAGAGCAGTGGTCTCCACTATTAATACTACTTCTAACAATAATAATAGTGAATACAATGATTATGATGACAATGATATTTATAACAATAGTGACGATAACATATACTCATATAAGCCTAATCAGTATTATTACTGTTTGTCGAATGCCAATTTTGTCTACTATCCACTTGGTCTAATAATCATTTAATTATACTAGGTTAATAATCATCATCAAATAATTATTAGACGTTATTCAGTTAATAAATTCCTTGAAAAACTATCGTTTAGGCTGAAGCGAATTTACCGTGATTAAATAAATAAATGTAATGACAACAATAAATGAAATCAATCCACCATCTTGAAGGGGCACTGGTGCACTCCAGTCAAACCGCAGCGCCTGGGTTAATGAGCTATTTTTTGCAAATTTTGTAGATTCACGTACGGCCGTACGATCCCAAATCGCGAGATTTTGTGCGAGATGTCACGAGATTTGGAAAGAGCCAACAAAACCCCTCCCTCTGCAAAAAATTATTCAGGTATCATCGAAAAATGATGTGGTAACTGAATTTACGATTCTTGCTCTCTCTTTTGGTATATTATTTGTAATATTTCCGAACTTGGAAAACAATGCAAATTGAGCCCAAATATTCGGCTAATTTTGTTCTTTTTGCAATCACATTTTGACATAGCGTTGTGTTTTTGCTAGCTCCTGACAGGTAACGAAGTTATTTTTTGTCGAAACATTTTTCCTGAATAGAAGAATAGTTTATCTCAAAATCCTCTGACAAAAACGAGCGGGATGGATAAGAATATAGGTTGGCGGTTTTCGAGCGACGACTATCGTTGACCTCTTGAAATAATATATTTTAGGTATTACTGGAAAGCAAAAGAGTTGAGGTGGTCTTCCCCCTCCCCCCCCAAAAAAAAAACGCCGGCCCAAAAAAAAGGGGGGAGAGAGAGATGAGAAAAAAGTAAGAGGACGTAGGAAGAAAAAGGAGCAGACAAAGGAAGGTGACAAATTAGACTGCGTTAACAAATAAAAAGATTACAAAGGAAACATCAGATATGTATCATAATTATATTCTTCTTAATGTAATTGTGAAATGAGCTTTGAATTCTATAGCCATAAGCCCAGTCCAGCGCAGTTCGCCTTTTGTATTGCTCGACATAACGTACCTACACAATGACTCAACGGTGCTCGACGGATATTTTATGTACAGCGGGCCGGGTTCTTTACCTTTTTATTGTATATTCGTTGAGGAGAGTGTAGGAATTGCTAGCCAGTATGTATATACAACCCCGCTCTCATATTCTCGAACAAGAAATAAACAAGAAATAAGTCACACTAATGTGGCAAATAATGGCGAACATATTTCCCGCAAGCAATTAAGGAAATCTTATGATGAAATACTTATTGCTTGGTGATTGGTCAATATATTTATCACATGCATGATGCTCAATTCTAAAAGAAAACAAATCGAAATCTTGTATAGACCTAAAACAATGAAGCAAATATTATTTTTGAAATTTCAGACAAGGGTTATAAAGGTCGAGAACGAATCACCTTCTTTCTCTATAGTTTAATGAAACGTCAAAGCTTCCGCGCTTCGCAAGAGAGGTGTGGGGGCGGGTGGGAGGGACTCCCCTACCTCGCACCCACCCTCCTTCGGAACGCGCTTTTGTAAGTGCTTCGCCCCCTTAAATAAAATCCTAGCTACGCGGTTGCATACCACTGAGGTCTGACTGACCCCACCCCCACATAGAGCCAGGCGCGGATCCAGGATTTCTTAGGGGGGGGGGGGCCCAAATTTGAAATCAGGCGAGCCAAATATTGGTACGTTATGGTGACCAGCAGTGACGTAATCGGGAGGGGGGTGGGTGCAGGGAGGGGCGAGTTTCCCCCTCCCTCCTCCGCGAAGCGCGGAAGCTTTGACATTTCAATAAATTATTAGAGAAAGAAGACGATTCGTTGTACCGTTCCCAAATATAATCCTCGCCTGAATTATGTTTCCTCACCTCCCGCGCGAAGCGCGGAGGCTTGTACGTTTCATTTAGAGAAAGAAAACGATTCGTTGTGTCGTTATCGACTCTTAATCTTCGTCTAAATTCAGTTCCCCCCCCCTCCCGCGCAAAGCGCGGAAGCTTTTACGTTTCATTAAATCATTGGCGAAAGAAGACAATTCGTTGTAGGCCTACCGTTATTACTTTTAATCCTCGTCTAATTTCATTTTCCCCCTCCCGCGCGATGCGCGGAAGCTTTTACGTTTCATTAAATCATTAGAGAAAGCAGACGATTCGTACCGTTCTCGACTCTTAATCTTTGTCTGAATTTCAAAAATGTTCTTCGTCTACTCCCTTTTCTTCCTACGTCCTTTTCCTTTTCACTCCTCTCTTTTTTGGCCGGCGTTTTGGGGCCCCCCTCTGTGAAAATAATGCATTTAAACGCAACGAATTTTCTTTTGGACCAATAACATTGAATTTAAGAGTTCAATATTGTACCCCCAACAAATCTGAAACAAATATAGATATGTGACTCAAAGTGATATACCGGTTTTTACCGATATACCTGATAATAATATAATATGTAAAACATGGGAAAAAAACTTTATTTATTGTTAGGGTTAGGGTTAGAGTTAGGTTAATACGGACCTTGGTTTCCTAGGGTAACGCAGGGGCCCGGTGTCCTAGGGTAACGCGGGGCCCGGTGTCCTAGGGTTAGGGTTAGAGTTAGGGTAACGCAGACCCTAGTGCTAGGAACCAATAATTGCTTGACTTTGTAAAAGGCATCAAATTAAAACAGCAAATTTAGGGGCGAAATTACCAAAAAAGCTGGGGCGAGCTGACCAAGAATCCCAAAATCGCCAACCAAAAAAAATCGGGGGGGGGGGGGGGGGAGGGGGGACATGACCAATTGAGGGCGACTTTGTAAAGGGGCGGACCGACATTGGGCGACCTGAAATGGAACCGCCTGTATAGCCTACCAGGCTCACCTAAAATTCTTGCGTTCGCATTGTTTCCTTCTTCCTCTCCCAACCTCCCTTTCTACGCCTTTGATTTCATACACTCATTATGCTACCAGCAAAAGTTTAAGGAATAAAGCGACTATCAAGTTCAAGTAAAAAGATTGAAGATTTGCGTCGCGTGATTCTTTTCATTTGTTTTGATTGGCGTGTTGAGGTCAAGAGATATCTCGACCCTTTATGGTGGCTCCAATTCGAGCTCAAGGCTATGAGTGTGTAATCGTAGACACCTCTTAGTATAGAAAGCTCGAAACAATATATACAATCTACTTGTTAACATGTAGTTCAAGTGAACAAGTGAATCAGGTGCGGATCCAGGATTTCTTAGGGGGGGGGGGCCCAAATTTGAAATCATGCGAGCCAAATATTGGTACGTTATGGTGACCAGCAGTGACGTAATTGGGGGGGGGGGTGGGTGCAGGGAGGAGCGAGTTTCCCCCTCCCTCCTCCGGGAAGCGCGGAAGCTTTGACATTTCAATAAATTATTAGAGAAAGAAGACGATTCGTTGTACCGTTCCCAAATATAATCCTCGTCTGAATTATGTTTCCTCACCTCCCGCGCGAAGCGCGGAAGCTTTTACGTTTCATTAAATCATTAGAGAAAGCAGACGATTCGTACCGTTCTCGACTCTTAATCTTTGTCTGAATTTCAAAAATGTTCTTTGTCTACTCCCTTTTCTTCCTACGTCCTTTTCCTTTTCACTCCTCTCTTTTTTGGCCGGCGTTTTTGGGGGGACCACCCGACCGCCCCCCCCCCCTCCCCCTGGCTACGCGCCTGCGGTCAGATGAACATAATTATGTTGATACCTTGTCTGCCCCCGGAACTCAGGGGTTTAAGGCAATAATTTACGGTCAGATTAGCATTCAGGGGTCCGCCTTTGGGCCCTAGGCCGGTCCAGGGAGCAGAGCCCCGGAAGTTCAGGGGTTTTAGGAATTTTATTAAGGTCAGATGAGCATTGTTTTGATACCTAATTGTGACACTGGCAGGTCACTAATTGGCGTGGGGTTCAGGTGGCGGAGCCCCCGGAATCTTAAGAGTTTTAGGCACTCAATTACGGTCAGATGAGTATCAAGAGGCCCGCCCGTTAGGGCTCTTGGTTGGGGTCAGGGGGCAGAGCCCCGGAAGCTCAGGGGTTTTAGGCGTTTAATTACTGTCAGATGAGCATCTAAGGGCCCACCTTAGGGCCCTAGGTGGAACCCAGGGGGCAGAGCCCTCGTGGTTTTAGGCATTTAATTTAATCATGGTCAGATGAGCATATTTTGATACCTCATTATAATGTGACACTGGCATTTAACTATTTTTTCTTTCTTGCTCTCTTTCTTTCTATTTCTCTTTAATATACTTTTTCAAAAAAAGGTGGGGGGGGGGGGCTCGAGGATCCCGATCCCCGTCGTTCCGCGGGCCCTGACATGTAGGCATCTAAAGAAGCATTTTCTTGCCTGGCTATACATTTAGGAATTTGTCATTTTCCAACAAACGCATAAAAAGTACAATTTACTTAAAAGTGAGGAAAAATTGGGGAAAATTATGTCATTTCTGCATTTTTTTGTAAACCACCGTTATGGAATTAGAAAAAAAAACACGTTTGAATTTGATTTCCCCAAAGCCCCCCCCCCCTCCCCTATCAGTACGTCAGTGCCCCCCCCCCCGATTTACACCTTGTTGACGAGAAAATTACGACTGATATCCCTTACCTTTCTTCATTCTCTGTTTGTTCTTTCCCTTTCTCTCCTCTTTCCCTTTCCCTTCCCTTCCTTCTCTCTCACTTAGGTTTGCTGGGGGGGGGGGGGGGGGGGGGGGGGAAAGGTCATTTTGGCCCCCACTCCGCTCCACACATTGTTGACTGATCTCCCCTTCTTTTCTTCTTCCTCTTTTTTGTTCCCTTTTAGCTCTCCTCTTTTCCTTTTCCTTCCTTCTCTCTTTGTTTAGCGGGGACGGGGGGGGGGGGGGGGGGAGGCAAGGGCCTTTTGCCTCCCCTCGATCCACAACTTGTTGGCGGGAAAATTGCAACTGATATCCCCCTTCTTTTCTTTTCTTCTTCCTCTTTTTTCCTTCCCTTTATCTCCTATTTTCCTTTTTTCTTTCCCTTTCCTTCCTTCTCTTTTATTTTTTGATTGGAGGGGGAAGGTTGGTCCTTTTGCCCCCCCCCCGATCTCCTTCTTCCCTCTCTTCTTTTCTTCTTCCTCTTTTTTCCCCTTCTCTCCTCTTTCCCTTTCCCTTCTTTTCCTTTTCTCTCTCTCTCCTTTTTTTTTTTTTTTTTGCGGGGGGGGGGGGGGGCCAAGGCCCGCTCGGCCCCCCCCCTGGATCCGCGCCTGCATAGAGCAACAATCCTGATGTACGTGCTAGTTCAACACAGCAAGGAAATATAATCTAAATAAAATGTCATCTACTTACACCCGCCATTGGCGTAGCAGAGGTAAGGGAAGCGCCATAAGTTCTGAAAACAGGCTACGAAGCCGATGTTCGTCCCAATAGATTCAAATCGCCAACTCCACCGTTCCCGATCCATCGCTGCCTGGTCCGACATATTCTATAGTTCAGTATGATATAGGTCTAGCTGGTATACAGGTCTATCCTATAGTCAAGATATATTTCGAGCTATCATGCATGAACGCCGAATGTATGTCATAGTGTCTTATCATGTATATCCTCTTCTGCGCTGAATAACCAGGAAGTACGTGCAACTGTAACTGATTTTTCTCAGGGGGGGGGGGGGGGGGGCTTAAACAAATGTACGGTAGGTGTGACTCAGCATGACGTTCTCTTTCAAGTTCAGTGTGTAAACTTTATAGTAATGTATGCGGCAGGGGCGTACGCAGGATTTTTTCAAGGGGGGGGGGGGTTTAAAATCTGGCCCAAAATATTTGCTCCCGAAAATTTGAAAAGTCGCTCAGGTGGGGGGGGGGGGGGGGAGGGGGGGGGAGGGGGGGGGGGAGTAAGCGGATACTTTTTTTTTTTTTTTTGGTCTCGAAATTTGAAAATTTGACTTCTTTTTTCGTTGGGGGGGGGGGGGGGGTATAAGCGGACACTTTTTTTTTTTGGTCTCGAAATTTGAAAATTTGACATCTTTTTTCGTTGGGGGGGGGGGGGGGGGGTAAGGTCACTTTAAGTTTTTTTTAGGGGGGTTTACACACATAAAAATACCAAAGCGGGGGGTTTGAACCCCCAAACCCCCCCCCCCCCATGCGTACGCCCCTGGTATGCGGTGTTGCGGTGCGATGCAGCCTTGGTGAACCGCATACATATCCTGAATGCATGTACTTTCTATATTAGACCAATGTACATGATTTTACTGCATTTATTGCAAATATGTGAATTGCGCAGCGCTGATGTTAATCCACCTCACATAATGTAGCGTACTTGGCTCAAAATCCTAGTTTCTGTAAATCATAGGCTTACACGCGTAAGAGTGTCGTGGTCGAGCGGTTTAAGGCGCTTGACTGCAGATGCGAAGGTCGAGGGTTCGAATCCCGACACGGCACTAATATCCTTTGGCAAGATATTAACCTGCACTTGCTACTCTCTACCCAGGTGTTAAATGGGTACCAGGTAGGATGCGACCGTCATTGTTGGTCAAACAGTTTTGAGCGTAACGTTACGCCTGGCTGGCTCCCCAGGGAGTGGAGATTGTGCACACACTGTGTGCGGGAAAGTATTGAATCCAATGACCGGGATAATAATATATGTAATATCTATAGAGCGCTGTAAATCATAGATGTTATAAGCACTATATAAAGCGGAGTTATTATTATTATACATGTACGTAATTATACCTCTTGGGGCTGTTTTATTTTAAATATATAAATCGTCAAAAGGATTGAAAAATCATGTTCAGTATAGTAGTCGAGTCCAAAGTCGAGATCCGAATATGTTGCTATATTGTCGTCGTATCATGATTAATTCATCGACTCTAAGTCCAAGGGTTGAGGGTAAGATTCCCAGCCCGGTAATAATTGTATTCATGAAAATATACATCCACATTAAATTGCCACTCTCCACAACGATGTGAATGAGTACCTGGCAATTGATGGGTAGTAGCGATTGCAGGGCCCATGCAACTGAAGTGCTAATGCATGTATCAATTTACAAAAAAATACACTTCAGCCTTGACATTTAAGAACAGCAGATATAGGAAATCTATCTCCAAAAAAAGAGTAAAATTAATGTATTTTACACTTTTTCGCCCAGGGCGGAGCCCTCAGAAGCTCAGGGGTTTTATACATCAAATTATCGTCGGATGAGCATAATTTTATACCTTAATTGTGACACTGGCAGGTCACGAATTGGTGTTGGGTCCAGGGGCGGAGCCCTCAGAAGCTCATGGGTTTTATACATTAAATTATCGTCAGATGTGCATATTTATTCCTTATTTGTGACACTGGCAGGTCACGAATTGATGTGGTATCCAGGTAGGCGGAGCACCCGGAAGCTCAGGGGTTTTGGGCAATAAATAACAAGAGCATATTTTTATACCTTATTTTTGATACTGGCAGAACACAATTTGGTGTTGGGTCCAGGGGACGGAGCCTAAAGCCCAAGGGTTTTATACATTAAATTATCGTCAGATGTGCATGATTTTATACCTTATTTGTGACTCTGGTAGGTCACGAATTGGCGTGGGGTCCAGGGGGCGGAGTCCCCGGAAGCTCGGGGGTTTTGGGCAATAAATAACGGTCAGATGAGCATATTTTTAAATCAATTTGTGACACTACCAGGACAAAAATTGGTGTTGGGTCCAGGGGACGGAGCCCCAGGAAGCTCAGGGGTTTTATATATTAAATTATCGTCAGATGAGCATGATTTTGTACCTTATTTGTGACACTGGTAGGTCACGAATTGGCGTGGGGTCCAGGGGGCGGAGTCCCCGGAAGCTCGGGTGTTTGGGCAATAAATAACGGTCAGATGAGCATATTTTATATCAATTTGTGACACTGTCAGGACAAAAATTGGTGTTGGGTCCAAGGGGCCGAGCCCCAAAAAGCTCAGGAGTTTTATACATTAAATTATCATCAGATGAGCATGATTTTATACCTTATTTGTGACACTGGAAGGTCACGAATTGGCGTGGGGTCCAGGGGCGGAGCCTTCGGAAGCTCGGGGATTTTGGGCAAGAAATAACGGTTAGATGAGCATGCAGCCGTCCGCCTTAGGGCCCTAGGTGGGGTCCAGGGGGCAGAGCCCACGGAAGTCAAGGGGTTTTAGGCATTTAATTACGGTTAGATGAGCATTTTTTTAGAACCCTTTTATTTCCTTCCTTTTTTTCTTCCTTCTTTTTTTTCCCTTCTTTTTTTTCCTTCTTTTTTCCCTTTTTTTTTTTCTTCCTTCTTTTTTGTTGCCGGGGGGGGGGGGGGCGGGCCCCCAGCCCCCTGGATTCGCCACTGACTACTACAACTCGGCTATAGGTCAAAGGGATTGTCTCCGAAATTGCAGCGTCTTTGGAAATGGTCTTTCCTCATCATTCATCGCTTGTCTAATGTCGTCTACAGGAAAAAGGCAAAGAACCGTGGAAAGAAGATGGTTGTTCTTGCTGAGAGGTTAAAGCCTCATATGCGAAACCCTTGTCTCGTGAATTGAGGAACGTATAAGTCAGCAAGTAGACCACGCTGAGGAGAAGAGTGGAGGATCGCAAGCAGAAGACCCCATGAAAGATGTTAAAGGTAATACATTTACATGTACAAAGTTTTGGTATGGGGTCATGAGTTTGGTTCAAATGAACATATTGGAAGCAAATGCGATTTTACAATATTCAATGATCGTTGTAGCGGTTGAAATCGAGTCTAAAGTGATGAAATTGTAAATAATAAACTCTTTATGTTGCATAGATCCCTCTGAGGACTGATTTTTAATTTAGCTTTAAAACAATGTTTCTTGACTACAATCGACCGATTTGCTATTCCCGTTTGGAAATTCTGAGATTCTCATAGTCGCAGCTACCATGGAATGGCCTTAATCGCTATTTGAAATATTTGAAATTTAAAGGGAGCAACGGTAAATTTGATTATTCAATTTCTCGAGAGCAGAAGTGTTTCAGGGACTAAATTTTGCGGTGCTTATAATACATCCACATGGGCATCCAAATATATCAAAACTTTGAAGAATTACTATCTATCCATTTTTCAAAATTTCCCAAAACTTTGCATTACCTTTAATACATGAGTCGCAAATGATCTTACAGAAGAAAAGGCATTTCAAGTCCAGGGGGTTGTTTCACAAAGATCCTAAGTCGAACTTAACTCTAAGTTGGACTTAAAAATTATGGAGAGCCATTTGTAGCCTAAAATAAAATATATTAACAAGTGAATACTCATGTTTTTAGGGTTTTCATAAATTCCACATCAAGAACATGAAATCTCCCATGATAATAGAAATATGAATGATTTTAAACAACATTTACGCCTTTTAAAATGACTTTTACAAAATATTTTCAAACAAACTAACGGCTTTCCATAACTGTTTTAAGTCCAACTTAGAGATAAGTTCAGCTAAGGATCTTTGTGTAACACCCCCCCCCCAGGTGTTATAAAATTAGAAAATTAGCAGATACAAGACAACTGAAGCCGAAGGGGAGTCGTTGCAAAGGGAAGCGAACAATACCTTACAGCAAAACTGTACCTTAATTACCTTAATTTGTTTTTAAAAAAGAAGACGGCCCCCTCCCCTGGTGCTCAATGGGGGGGGGGGGGGGGGGGGGGGTTGCGATTTTCAAATTTTCGGAAAAAAAAAACACAACAACTAGTGCTGCCCCCTCCGGTGAGCGAAAAATCGACCGGCGCGATTAGTGATCCTCCCCCCCCCCTACTGAGCGAAAATAGTGTTCTGTTCGATTTTCAAATTTCCGGGGGCTAAAACGAATTTTTTTTTTTGCTCACTACCCCCCCCCCTTTTTAAACACTGAACGAAATATTGGACGGTGCGATTTTCACACTTTAAGAGGCAAATACAAAATACTATACATATATACTTTGATTGATTTGATTGATTTGCAGTAAAATGAGAACAATTAAAAGCCAATAATACCAAATTGCACTTTTAGCTTCTCAGACCTTCTGGTCCTGCAGGTGAAATTTTACACGCTTTATTTAAAATTCAACAGGTATTAAGACCTGCCCTCGAATTTATATACAAACATAACAAAGGTGTGTGCCACGGACAACGGGACACAGGGTTCGAACTTACACAGTGCAATACTTGGGGGGGGGGTGTCCCCCTGTTCCCCCTATTATTGACGCTCACGCATTGAAGTAAGTTGAAATCCTAATAATCCTTAAACATCCGAAGACTCTGTAAACTACACAAAAGGAATAATTGCTATCTCTCAAAAAGCATCAAATCAAATCAAATCATTTATTTTCCACTAAAAAAAACATGTTACAATTATTGTTTCTCCACAATTCATTTCAGTACATGTAATAATAGAGGTCGAATTATGCATACATGCAAGCGCAAATTGAAATTGAAAATAACTCCTTTTATGTATATAAAAACAATGCAAAAACATACAATATAAAACATAATTTCAACATAACAGCATATAATTTAGGAAAAGATAGATAGAAATATATAATAAAAACTAAAATGTGTTTGATTCATTAGTTCAAGACGACGTCGTTTAATTATATTAGGCG